AGTCATGGGAGAGTAGGAATAGATCTCAAGTTCTGCAGTCTGTTTCAAGCTAAAACATATTATAATTCTATAATCAGTGTAAAGGGACAGAGTTACTTTGTTATGGCTTTTCAATTATTTTCAAGAGCCAGGCTTTTTTGGGTGCTCATCATTTCTGTGTAGGCCTTCAAGTCTCAGATTGTCACAACACATCCTCTGACGTTTACTGCTTACCCTTTGTAATAATTCAAACTTAAATGCTAGATCCCAAATTTGCTAAATTGCCAAATTTGGCATTTTTATTAGGTTATATGGTGTTTACATACTTTGTACATACAAGGCTTTCTCTAGTTACATGACAGTAATGGTATAGATATTATATACCTAGAAGGTAGCAATCCCTATTCCGTTATATCTTTGGGGCTTTTTTATATATTAAAATTAAAAGTTGGTCATTTTATCACATATTTTAACAATAATATTTTAATGTGATAAAATAAATTTTGACACATTTTCACAATTTATATTTAATGCTGTCACTATTTCGTATTTGTCTAATAGTCTTTTGATAGTGTTAGTCTATTTGGCATCATTTGGTATTCTATATTAAAACTACAAATTCTTTTTCAATTTAGTAAAAATGAAAAAAATAGGGTAAAAGAACATTTTTCTTTCTTTGATTTGTCGTCTTTTTTTTGGAATTTATTCATTTTTTAACCTGCATTTGTCTACACACAAGTGCCCTTACCAATTTTCTTTTGAATCCTGTATAGTCTTTGTGCCCTACTTAAAAAAAAAATATGAGCCACTTTTAAAAGAGATCCAAGAGAACACCATAGCCAAGACTATAGAGAAACTTCTATGCAAACATTTGATCAAAATTAAACAAAAACTCTGTGATTGGACCTTTTCTTCTTCATTTAGTACAAATAAGCATGTGTTGGCTGTGGAGATGAATAGATTAGTAACACTGGAAGTACTCTTCTTTCTCAGCCCTTTGTTGACGGAAGGGGTGCAGCTTGGTTTCTTGGAAGAGATTTGTAGTGGAATATGGTGCCTAGAATGACTATTTCATGGTGTGACATGTTTTTAAAACATTCTGATTTACTGTAACTCTGATAGTTACAAGTAATGTCTTAACCCAGAATTATTTGACTGTCCACAGATGCTTTTAAATTGCATGTACTCTAACCCCAACACACGCCCCCTAAGTGTGGGCACCTTATACTCTGACAGCAAATCAATCTTAATAATACTTCTGAAAAACAAGAAGGTAAATTTGCTATAGTTATATTTGCAGAATCTATTCTAAATAATTTAGTATTATCCATGTTGTTGTTTGCCCTGCTTAACACTAATTGAGAATTGACTGTTTCCATCAACTAAATATTTAGTTTTCATGGAGAGTGGTTTGAGGAGTTAGAAGAAAACAATATACAAGTTTACATATGGGTTGAAGATCAGTATCTTCACTGTTGTAAAAGTGTGCAGTTGTTTAATTTTCTCCTCACAACTTTAAATTCATCTTTTTTTTTTCTCTCTTCTGAGACAGTCTCCCTCTATAGTCTGGATAGAGTGCAGTGGCATCATAGTAAAGGATAGCAAAAGGATGTTCCTGCCTTAGCCTCCCAAGTAGCTGGGGCTACAGGTACACACCACGACACCCAGCTAATTTTTCTGTTTTTAATAGAAATGGGTCTTGCTCCTGCTCAGACTGGTGTTGAACTCCTGAGCTCAAGCAGTCCTCCTGCCTTGGCATCCCACAGTGCTGGGATTACAGGTGTGAGCTACTGCACCGTGGCCTCTCCTCACAACTATAGACATTTCAATTGCAGTAAAATGGAAACCTCTACTCCCTACTCTGCAAGTAACAGTGATGTTAACTAACGTGCTTCTGACTGGCAGCAATCAAAACTTTGACCTTTGACACAGATTTCTTCTCACCTTTAATTGACTTAAACTACAACTGATATATTTTGAAAGTTTTTTTTTAACCTGTTAGGTCAACAGATAATAGAAGTTATTGCTGGGTAATACAAATAGATTTATGAGCATCTTTCCATATCTGCTTTAGTTAAACATGATTAGTGAAGGAAATTATACGAAGGCAACTCTACAGGAAATCTCTCTGACACTTACATAGTTTAGTTAATTTTTTGTGTTTCGATATACAACATGAGATCTGTGTATGGCCTATTGGTTATGCCCAACCAAAAAGATAGCAGTACAGAACAAGCACCCTAAGTCATGTTCTTCAAGCATGAGGGCTCCTTTTTAACGTCAAATAATATTGTATATTACTACATGATAGTAGTAGTGCTTTTGGTCTGTATTGATGTGGAAACTTGATAGACCACTGAATTCAATAATATCTTTAAGTAACTTTGTACTTTATTAATCTAGACACCACTGTGGACATTTAAAGCAACACATTAATTCAGTTTCTCCTTACAATAAGGAGAGTATGTATATGTCAAAGAGATTTTTTTTCAGAGGAAACATTTAAACCCTTGTTATTTAATGCTTTTCAAAAGCAGTTGTTCCTTTTCTGTTGCTGATGTTTTATTATGTAGTTTTAGGTTGTTGTTGATAATTTTAATATCAGAAGACAGGCCTCAGTTTGTAGGGTAATTGTACGTACGTATAAAGAAGGTACTTCTTTATAAGACAGTTGAAATTGTGTGTTTTGTCTAAATGGCTAGAATTCCCTATCACTGTGGGGAAAAAAGGGATCTGAGAAAGACCTTAAGTTAATCAAAAAAACTGCATGCAACTGTAATGAAATCGATACACTATCCACCTTCAGGATTTATCACCCCTTACTTCTCTTTGGGGACCAACCTTTCAAAATGATGCATTAGTGATGAGTTTTACCATCACAAGCCTTCAGCACTGTGATTATTATCATAATACAAAAAGTGAAGTCCAAACAGGATTAGTTGAAAATGGCCCTAGGTATTCACTTGAGTTGCTTCAGCAATGAGCCATCTGGTACCATCCCTCCATTCCATCCTCCCAGCAGGACTGTCTGCAACCAAGTTTTGCATATCTTGAAACTAGGGGCTGCTGCAAGCACCTCGTGTTCTCCAGATGCTGGGCAGGTGGCATTTCTGGCTTTCACCAAAATTTAGAATGCTTGGTGCCAGTGTGTTCATCCACTGATAAGAGTGCTCTTGCTCTTGTTTTGTGTGAGAGAACACACTGGCAACACTTCCAAGATTGGCTCCCTTAGACATTTAGGGATATGAACCAAAAGAGTCAAAGAAGGAGAATTATAGTTAGTTATAAGAAGCAAACAAGTTTTATTTTACAAAGAAACTTCTGCCATAATGAAAATAGCACATCCAGAGAATCAGGTCTCTTTGTCCTATAGTATTATAGGCATCACCTACAGTGTGTGAGTCATTAGAAGATACATCTCAAGAACTTTTCTGTGAATTATGGCCCTTCTTTTTGTGGCTGATGCAGCTATTAAGGCTTTACAATAGTATGAATGTGAGCTGATATTTGATTAAATGTATGATCAGAATGTTGACATCAGGTTGTCAAGAGGAGCAAGGTTCTGATATGAGATGTGCCAAATCACTGGCTACAAATCAACTGTGTTGGGGTTCTCATGGCAACTTCCTTACATACTCTGTGGAGGTTCACTAGCAGCTTTTTAGGTATTCTTCCCTGGAGAAAGGGAATCTTTAATATACTTGATACAGGTTAAAATCTAGGAAAGTTGGTACCTGGGGTGTCTGCTCTTTTTACAAGAGATTTCAGAATAGATACCACTTAATAGAATAATTAGACCGGCCTTAATAGGTGACTGTTCAGTGTATGACACCAGAAGGAGGAAAGGACTGAAGAAGTTTTTATCATACAAAGAGTAGAAAGAATATCTGCTCAAAAGAATTGTAGAATCTAGATTGAAAAAACGTTAAAAACTAAGTAATTGCTTATGTATCTGCAAATTAATGGAAGAATGATCCTTGTTAAGCAATGGAAATGGCTCTATATCCCAAACATTTTAACAAGTAATTATAAATACTTTGCACCATTGTGCAGCTCTTATCTCTCTTCATCTCATCTTGCATTAGAATACATTAGTCTGCAGCTTACCGGAAGTACTTCACTTAACCAATGCTTAACATGTTTTTCAGCTACTTTGCTGCTTTTGCTGGTTTAGAGTATATGTGTCTTAGTGACAGGGAAAGCATTTCAGTTTTAAGGCTTAAATGGGATTTTTAAGTGAAAGGAAGAAAAAAATCCTGGTACCCACAGGTGGGAAAATTTACAGATGTAAAAACAACTTGATAAAAGGCTAACTTGATTAGTACAGACTGTAACACATTGGCACACATGCACTCACACACACTCAGACACACACACACATGCACACACACACACACACACACTCTTGAAACTTTTCTGTGGGGCCACAGTGTTTTATTATGAAAATAGAATAAAAGCTTTGAGTGTAATTTAAAGGTAAACATAAATAGAAAAATGATATTTACTGACTTCTATTCATTTAATCCACATTTTTAGAATTGTTAATATTAATTGTAACAATAAGAACATCAACAAGTAAAATTTTATATATGCTTCACATGGCCCCGGAGTCAAAACTAGAGTGAGTTAAATACAACTCTTATGGCAGTTAATGTGTTAAGCAGGTGTGTAAAATGGTTTTTTAAAAAGCGACTCTTCAATCATAACATCGTGTCTCCTCTTGTCTAGATTGATATTTGTGCCCCCCCCAACTTCAGTATAAGTGACCAGGTTCTCCTGTGCTTCCTTCTTGCCCTTCTCCCACCTGCTTTTATGAGGGAACCACAGAAGATCATAACTGATTGTCTCACTTAAGGCACCTAGCCTTAACATGATAAAATTTCTTTCTGTATTTTAACAGTCCAGTAATAGATATCAAGTGAATGATTCTCATTAACAAGCTAACTAATAATCATTGTTGAACGCATGTAATTGCAGTATGCAGCAGTGTTAAATGTTTATGGTTTGCTTTCTTTTTGTAGAACACAAAGTAATTATAGTGGGACTGGATAATGCAGGGAAAACCACCATTCTTTATCAATTGTAAGTATGAGTGTTTATTAACCAGTTTTCATTAGTTATTGGAATTAACCTTTTATAATTAATAAGATGAGATACATTATAATATCATGGAAAAACTTACATGGTTTTTATTTTATCAAATGCAATATTTATGGAAAAGCAAGTCAAACAGCTGTATGTTTGCCAAAGCCTTCACAAACATTCATTGTTTTCTGGCCTTGAAAGAAAGAATTAATATTAAACTAATACAAATAAGCACATGTTATAGTGCTGGGGTAAGGTGATAAAGTGGATTTCACTTAGTTCTTCCCACACTGAGGTTCATGTAAATAAATTGATATCTCTGGGAAGCTATTGCCACTCTCCTGACTGATAGCTTTGGAATTGTTTAACATAGTCAGACTTGTCAAATCCAAAGAAATGAGATCACCCCTGAAAACATTGCCATAGTAGCTTGTAATAGGGAGAGGCTTGAAACTCAGAGAAATATATTAATACTTTAAGGAAATTTTAACAGCCCATGAATCCACTTGTCAGGTACCTCCCGTTATCCTTTCAGTGCCAATGAAATGATCCTTGTTAAGCAATGGAAATGGATCTATAACCCAAGCATTTTAACAAGTAGTTATAAAATACTTTGCACCGTTATGTGGCTCTTACCTCTTTCCACCTCATCTTGCATTAGAAGTACCTTAGTCTGCAGTTCACCAGAAGTGCTTCACTTAACCAAGGCTTAACATGTTTTTCAGCTGCTTTGTTGTGGTTTGTTTCAGCATTGAATAACTACTTGTTTTTCTTTAAAACATTTTCATTCATTGGCTATTATGTATTTAATTATGACTTAGTCTTCAAACATCAATATAAACATTTCAGAAAGCTGTCATCTTTGTCGAAATAATCTTAGCTTCAAAATGTATATAAAACCCAAGGAGAGTTACAAGCCTCTTCCAACACAGTACTGGCATTTTATCAGCAAATACTTACTTGTTCAATGAATTAATTAATGTAGCTCATCCAATGATTATGATAGTACAAGTGGTATGAACATCAGTATTTTAAATATATTTACAGTTAATTTTAATTAAAATTTTTGTTTGCCCATGGCCTTATCTTTTTAGGACTAATTTAGATTAGTAAACCTGAAGTAATTTTTATGGCTAAGTCTCAATTTTACATAAAGAGTCTTGAAAATTATGGATAGCCTATTACCCAGTGGTTGCTACTTTTCAAGTAATGATATCACAGTCACCTAGAAACTTGCTCTTTCAGGATGGGGCATTGGTGGTATTGGAATATTTAGCCACAGAAAAGCAAACTCACACCACTGTGTTCCCTTCTATTCAGGTCAAGCTTTCAGTTCATTCCATTAAAACAATCTTTCTTCCAGAGTTGTTCTTTTTCTAGGTATTTATTTGCACAAATGTTTCTATTTTTCATGCTAATCATTATCATCACCAGTGCTAATAAGGAAGATTGATCTTAAAAACATAGAGATAAAATTGGCTTCGGGTTTTTGAGATTTACAAGAGTTTTAATGGTGTCTTTCAACAGTTTAATGAATGAAGTGGTTCATACTTCTCCAACCATAGGAAGCAATGTTGAAGAGATAGTTGTAAAGAATACTCATTTTCTTATGTGGGATATTGGTGGTCAAGAGTCCCTGCGGTCATCCTGGAACACATATTACTCAAACACAGAGGTATGCTAAGATTACATTTGAATTTTAATAAAAAGAACCAAGGAGTAAGCACAGAAAATAGATAGGCTGTAACTAAGGCATATTGACAGTTGCCTTTTAATAAGATAAATTTTTGTGAGGAATTTGGGTTTTCAAGTAAAAGGCAAGTAGAAAGCATATTGGGAGCTATTATTAGTTGAGTGCTTACTGTTGGCCAGGCTCTCTGAGTTCATCCTCACAATAATACTGTAATCTCTAGTGTTGGAGAAATCTGACACTAAAAGAAATTATATAACTTTTCCCAAGTTCTCACAACTTTATAAGAGATCCTGATTGGGTGAGCAGTAAAATATTTTAAGCATAATTTAATAAAATATTTCAAATAACATAAACTGAACATTCAAAATTTTGGTTAGATTGTATTTTAATTTTTAAATTTTTTTTATTTTTTTATTTTAAGTGAATAATCAATGGTTTTAATTTTTATTTATTTATTTATTTCGAGAAAGAGTCTCACTGTGTTGCCTGGGCAAGTGCCATGCTGTCAGCCTAGCTCACAGCAACCTCAAACTCCTGTGCTCAGGCGAGCCTCCTGCCTCAGCCTCCCGAGTAGCTGGGACTATAGGCATGCGCCACCACACCGGACTAATTTTTTCTATTTTTAGTAGACGTGGGGTCTTGCTGTTGCTCAGGCTGGTCTCGAACTCCTGAGCTCAAGTGATCCTCTGGCCTCAGCCTCCCAGAGTGCTAGGATTACAGGCGTGAGCCACTGCGCCCAGAGCCTGTATTTTAATTTTAAAAAATTGATTTGCTGGTCATCCTCCAGAGTGCTCTGTCATTTATTTAATTATTTTCTTAGTTCAGAGCTAACCTAGGGAACAAATACGGCATATCCTCTATTTCTGCTTTTACTTCTTCCTCGAGGCAGATTTTTTTAAGACAATGCTGCTTTGTTGTGGTTTCTCTCAAATTACTGTTGAGAGAAGTTTATCTTTGAGAATACTAGTGTACTATTGCATCCATTTAATTTGTCTTTGCAAAGAGGTACACTTAGCCAATTATTTTCTTCTAAAATGAAACTTTTAAAAATTGGAGTTGGGGGGAGGGCAGAGGAGTAGAGAGATATAAGGAATTTTTGGTGAACAAAGTTGCCTTTTTGAATAAAAAGCATGTGTTCTAGATTTATATAGTAATAGCATGTATATATGTGTGTGTCAGTAGTAAACTAGGATGGCATATCATAGATATTCCGTGCTTGTAGTAGCACTTAATTATTTTATTGGGGGGACAGAAGATGTTGGTAAGCACATAGTATGGTTATAGATTACATTTGTACAGTAAAATAACATTCTGAAACTAGAATGTGTTAGAGTAAGGGAAGTACAACATTTTAGTGTATGATTTATTTATACAGCATAGCTGTTGGTACTCTTTTAAAGCTCACAATTAACTCCAGCTGTGAAAAGAGCAGTTATCTTTGATGTACAGGTCAGAGTTGATTCTAGAAGACTTCGCATGGGTCCAGAAAAAGATAATAAACTCTTTCTACAAGAATATCAAAATTACTATGTAGAACGAAGGCCTTTATTACAGCTCTCCAGCATAGCACATAGCATTCGCTATCTTAGATTTTAGGTAAGGATCTTATGTGTATGGTATTTCACTAATCACTTTGTTCACCCTTGTCATCTTGCTTTTTGAAAATTCTTTACATTGAGGAATCATCCAAAAGCTGCAATGTCTTCATTATAATACAAGAGGTTACAGGTGTTGACTGATTCCTGACACCGTCCTCTCATTAACTCACAGTTATGTCACCATATTGTGTCCATTTTTCCTTTGTCATCTTTCTCTCTTTCTTTTATCCCTTTCTAAGCCTGACTCACTTTATATTCAGATTGTCTGTCTTCCCCTAATTTTAAAGTCATCTCTATATTTTGATTGCACCCTTCCTGTCTCAATTTATTTTGCATCTGTCCCCTCCTATATAACGCTTAGCACCATTTGACATCATTTCTTAACTTTTCTTTTGCATAATGTGTTTAAGGGCCCTTTCTCACTGTATCTTCTTATTTTTATTTACCGAAGTTGCTTTTATTTTTAATGTGCATGACCTACCTTTTTGCATGTACATCTTTGCCAACAAATTTCTCCAGTTCTCCTGGCTCTCTTGCCTTTATTTAATTTCACCTGTATCTTCCTTTAGTATATTGGCACCCAAGTATTAATAGGTATGTTTCAATTTAGCACAGTTTTTCTTGAGCATTTATTGTTGCTATTGTTTTGTAAAAATATCTTATTAGTTTTTTTTAATGTTTATGTTTTTCTTTCAAAATAGCTTTTATTTTGAATAGGCATGAGATTGTCCTACACATAAATAAGTAAATAATTATTGATCATTTATTTTTATTTTATTTTTCTGGACTTTCGTGCAGGTTTCCTTAAAATTATTGATCGTTTGAATGGTAATAGAGTACTTTGAAATTTTAGTGAAAGAGTATTACTTAAATTAACATAAGTTTATGTTTTTTAATTTTTATTACCAGCATTTGAAAACAAATCTTAATATTATGTAGTGTTATAAGGTATTCAGGCATCACTGTTTTCAAAAAATAAACTTGGGCACGGTTTTTATTTGTTGAAATTGTAAGTTATTTTCTTACTGATATTTAGATTTTATTGTTTGATGTGATTCAGTCTTATAGAAGCTCTTTATGCTGAAAAAACAGTAGACATCTTACGGTAATGGCAATGCCATGTGAAGAAAGTACTTACATCATTTGCGTAGTTTTATAGAAAACTTTTCAAAACCCCATTCAATTTTCTTTCTTTCTTTTTAATTGTCTTCTAGTTCATCATTCTTGTTGTTGATAGCATTGACAGGGAACGACTAGCTATTACAAAAGAAGAATTATACAGAATGTTGGCTCATGAGGTAAATTCCTGAAAGTAAATCTTTACAAAACAATGGAGTAAAGTATCTTTGGCTTTTTTTTTTTTTTTTTAACAAAGATTAATGTGGTATGATATTGGTTATCCCGTCAACACAACTTTATACATTAAATTGATGAAAGTCTTGAAGTCAAAAATTCACATTACTTTTTCAAACTCAAAAAAACTAACACGTTCATTTGTACACTGTTGTTATTGCAAAGATTTTTCAAAGTTAAAATTATGCATGCCTTAAAAAGTCTGATAAAATGAAATAAGAAAAAGGAAAACTTATATCTTTTCCCCAATAGCTTATAATAACTAAAAGATCTTTAATGAATAATTGGAGACAACTTAAGTATTTCAGATATATTTAAAAAACTAGACAGTAAAACACATTCATATACCTGCTATTCAGCATGAGATACACAATGTCTTATGAAACCTCCCCAATCTTCTTCCCTTCTGTCTCAAAGGTATCCGCTATCCTAAAAGTAGTGATTATGATTCCTATGCATATTTTATAGTTTTACTACATTTTTATGTGTCTAAATTATGCAGAATATATTCCATGTTCTTAAAACTTTGTATAATAATGTCATAATATGTACATCTTAACTTTTTTTTTTTACACAACATTGTGGTTTATACATGTTAATACATACTGCTTTAGTTCATTCCTTTAACAAGTGTGTAGTTTTCCAGAGTATGAATATACCACAGTTGATCTATCTAATGTTTTTATAGTATAAACAATGCTGAAATGAACATTATTAACCAATGAGCTTATGTTACACAAAGACTAATAAGTAATAGGTATTGCCCAGCTCCCACCTCTAATACTTTATTTTAAATTTTGGAGAAACTGTAGTATTTGGTAACATACTACCATATTTGCCCATTAGAATATTGCTTATGTAGTTTTGAGTCAGTATTTAAGATTCAGGTTTATTTTCCTTTCAGTTTGACCCCTTTGGCCCATAAATAGAAACATAACTTTTAATTATTTTATTTACGTTAATCTGTCTTTGTTAGAGTGAATCATTAAATCCTGGTTATTTGAGGTAGGTGTTTTTTGTTTTTTTTGTTTTTTTTTTTTGAGATAGTGTTTCTCTCTGTTGCCCCAGGCTGCAATGACCCTATCCTAGCTCACTGTAGCCTTGAACTCTTGGGCTCAAGCACTTGCCACCGCACCCTGCTAAGTGTTTTTGTTTGTTTGTTTTAGTTTTTTGTAGAGACTAGGTCTTGCTGTGTTGCCTAGGCTGGTGTCCGACTCAGGGCCTCAAGAGATCCTCCCACCTCAGCCTCCCAAGGTGCTAGGATTACAGCCAGGAGCCACCGTGCTCTGCAAGATGATTTTTATTACGATACAAATTTAACATTAAATATTAATGCTTGATCATTTTAAAGTGGAGACATTTCTTTATACCAGTTCAGCTGAGTATACTTTATCCTCCTGATTGATTAATTTGAATTGTGATATTTCACATATTAGAAATATTTTGTCTTGGTTGCAGGATTTGCGGAAGGCTGCAGTCCTTATCTTTGCAAATAAACAGGATATGAAAGGGTGTATGACAGCAGCTGAAATCTCTAAATACCTCACCCTTAGTTCAATTAAGGATCATCCATGGCACATTCAGTCCTGCTGTGCTTTAACAGGAGAAGGGTAAGTGTTAATCAGTCTGAGGGGAGGTATGCCTTCTTTCAAATTTCTTCCAGCTTTTTTAGGCCAACTGGTTTCTTCTTGGATCCTATCCCTTTCTTTTGTTGTTGTTCTTAATTAAAGGTGGTTTTTATATTTTGTCTCAGGGTTACGAGGTTGAAATAACTTTAGTAAAATACCTTTTCATAACTTTTAATGCAAATGTAACGTTTAACCAAAAAAAATCAGTAATAAGCTTTTGAATTAATTTTTTCAATCCAAATTTTTTTATATTCTTTGTTGCTTTTATCATTTACTGAGCGAAAACTGTAATGTCACCTGAATTAAAGAGAAAATTTAAAAGAAATTTTACATTTTCTTCAAGGACTTAAACCTAATCTCTCAGCTTTCCATAAAAGTACATCTCCTTTTTATTATCAGGAGTCCTTTTGGAAGACATCTTCTAGACAATAAATATTTGAGACAAATGCCATTATGGTTTAGTCTTCTATTCCTAGCAATTTGAATGTGGATATTAGGCCAAGGAGAATCCAATATATGGATATACGGGTTACCCAGTTTATGTTAGGAAACTAACTTATTTATCCTCAAATCAACCAGACCTTCTTAGTTTTTCTATTAGTATTTTTCAGAAATAGCTTGCAATGTAATAGCTATATGTAGACTTTGAAGGAGTGGGTGATAAGTATTCCATTCTTTAGAATTTAGGAGGGTTAGGTAAAGTTCCTGCTATCTTTCTATAGTAGTTTTCATTAATTTTAAAAGGGAGGTAGGGACAGGTACTTGCAATCTTGATAGATAGCAAAACTGCCAAAGCTGTATCTTCAAGATGAGATTGAAGCAGTTTCCCACATTACTCGACTGGTTAAGATCATTTTGTTAAAGTGAACCTTCCATTTAAAATTCCACTTACTATAGTGTTACTTTAATATTGACACTGAAGTATACAAATAATGATTGGAGTACCAGCCTTTGAGTTAGACTTAATAAGTATGCTTTCAATTTTTAAGTATAAAGTTTTTAATTTTGAAAATACTTCTATCTTTTGTTCAGGTTATGCCAAGGTCTAGAGTGGATGACCTCCCGGATTGGTGTGAGATAACTTTTTTGCTCGAAAGAGACTGCTCTATTTATTCTGTGACATGAACATTTTTTCTTAGTACCTTTAGCTGCTAAGGCAGCAGCATGTTTAATTTATAACAACACAAACCTCTATGAGCAACACTTGAATCAAGTGCAGCTGAACTGGAACATAAAAAATTTTTTCTTAACTTTTTTTTAATGCACTAATCTTCAGTTGGATGAACATAATGTATAACTGTGTTTTCAGCAACAGAATTCTTCTGTTTATTCTAATTATTCAGTGACTGCCTTGTGAGAAATGTTTGTCATATGTTTAATGTTTCTGAAGTATTGTTATAACCTTAATGACCAATTTCTTTCAATTCTTGACCACCACCAGGTAATTACTAGCTTGATAGAGTAGTAGTGGAAGTCATCAGGTACTGCTTGTAAACTTCTCCAGCGCTAAATATTTGCTCCCTCTATAAACTATTTATCTTTCGGACAGAACTTATCATAAAGAAAGAAATCTACCTAGAGTATATATACAAGGAAAATTAAACATCATGAGTTTAAACTTCCGCCACATATTGCAAGTCATGGAATAATTTTTAAGTTGCTATTAGCATGGAAGTTAAATAGGCTGTTTATTTATCTAAAGGAATTAAATTCATTTTTATGCCTACAGCATATGGTCAAAAACTAATCAAGGTTAAATATTTCTTTGAAAGCCCAGCTTTAATGTTAAATATTGTTTGTTGGATAAATCTGGTATTTTAAGAGTGTCACAATATTCAATGCATATGAAACTGTTGGAAGTTATTAAAGCATACCAGCACTTATTTAAAAATAAAATAAGACACTTAGAAATATATTTTACTATAAATTTACAAACAACTTTATTATCAGCAAAAATTTCAGCTGTTCTATTTATAAGAGAAGTCGCATCTGCTTTGGGCAGTAGCTAAAACCGAAGTATGATCAGTACATTTTTTTTTCTTAAAATTTTAAATTGTGTCTGTCCTAGCATTTTTACCACAAGAAGTATATTACTTAAAAAAACATGTGGCTTTCCTTGAATCTATTTGAGGGTGTTATCTAATAGATTTGAAACAATTGCCATCTTTGTAGTTTTGCCTTGAGCTCTAAAATCTTATAGGAAACTGCTGAATTTAATCCTAGCTTTTAGAAAATTACTGTGAGACTCAAAGTTATTAGTCTTAACAACTCATAAATTAAGAAGTAATTAAAGTGAAGAAAAAGTCATAATCAAAAGTTTGATAGCATTAAAAAGTTTTTGAGGCAGTTGTCTCAATATGGACAATAATCTAAACAATGCATACCTTAAATTAAGAGGGAGGACAAGTACTGTAATTTCAATCCTCTTTATTCAAATGTGTGATTTTGCTGTAATGAAAGGGATAAAATGCATACTTAGAGAATAATACTTCATTTTTGCAGTATTTTTTTACTTTGGATCAAAAATAAGATTCAGTATTCATAAGAATATCAAAATACCTGTCAAAAGTGGTACTTTGATTTTAATATTTTTATTTGTAAGTTGATTTAAATTTCACTTTGTGTGTGTGTGTGTACTTGATTTATTATATTGAGTTAATTTAGTCAGATGTGGTAACATTTTTCTGATTTCTCTTTAGTGGTAGCACACTCTTGAACTGAAAAATGGCCAGAGGAAAGCTTTCTAGACTTTAGAAAATAGTTGTTTAACTTTGTTTTGAACTTTTTTCTTAGTGATTCTGTACCAGGTAGAGGTTAAGTTTAGTTTAGTTTTTAATATAAACCATAATCAAGAACATGAGAGAAAAGCAGACATAAATCAGTGTGGATACTTGTGGTGTGTGTGTAAGGGGGTGGGGGCGGGGGACTGAGAAAATGCTATTTACCTGAAGCACACTTTGCCTGAATTTCTACTTGGTTATATTGTTTACCATAAATACTTAGGATAATTCTCATAAGTCTGTCCTGAGAAAAAGCATATTTAGTACTCCTGTATTTGTTCTTATGAAATGATTATCTGCCTTGTATTTAGCAAGATTGGCTGGCTCAATTTTCTTCTATCAAATTATATGGTTATTTTTTATATTACCACATCAGCATTATATTGAAAGTGTTTTTAATAGTTGATTGTATTTTATCAAACAACTACTAGTATAGACTCAAATTTACTATTTAATTTTTAAAATACAATTATTTTATTTTCTACATCCTTTTTTAAAAAATATTTTATTAGTTTTGGATTAGAATTGATTTATGTTAGCCACGTGTTGAAGATGAAATTGGCATCCAAGTAGATTTTGTGCCAATTAGGGAAAGTTCAATTAGGAAATTCATGTAAGGCTTTTTAAAAGTATTTTTTAGGTTTTCATTCACTTTTCCCTGTTACAGTAATATGAAAACTGATTATCCTTTACTCCAAGAGAATGTTTTGACCCAAGCAAGTACCTAATGCTAGAGCGTTGATTCTGACATTTATTGTAAGTCACCCAACTATAAGATACTGTCTGACGAAAATGTAAATTTGTAATTAGTGCCTTTATTCACATTTTGAGATAAGTTCTCAATTTTGTACTCTACTTATTCTTTGGACATCACATTAGCAGCTATAATTAGTTCAGCAATTTGAGTTTCACCTTGCTCTTCAACTCCATATATTGCCTAGCAAAGGTTCTAGTAAGTGGAGAGCAAGGCACTCACCCACATTACTTTCAGGAGACTATTCTACCTTTTATTTTTAATTTCAGGATAAAGAAATTACATTTTAGCTGAAATCTTTTTGATATAACTAAAATGTAAAACTACCCTTGCAAGTTCAAATACGGCATTTTTCTTAATTTTGAATGTGTCATATTCTTCATCTTTAAACCCCTCATTCTTATTGAAGCCCATCTGAGAACTCTTTTAGAATTAACAGGCTCTTTTATAAGGGAATATACTGTATATTTTTTATTATTAATGTAATTTAATTCCTTAAAACCTGGAATATTTATATATATAATCTATTGAAAACTGAAGATTAAATATGTAATTTTCACTTTTAGTTTCTTGTATTAATATGCTTAAAGGTGTAATTACTTTTATCTATATTCATTATAATAAATTCAAATTTCATTACTGAAAAATTTTAAATGGATACCACCCCTACAGCCATAGTCATTTTGGTTACACATAATTTAACTTTCACTATCTATAACAGAAGGAGAAAATAATTATTTTCCTATGGAAACAGTGAGTGATATATAGGCAGTGCTGTGAACAATATTCTCTGAAGAGCTATGGGAGTCACAAAGCAAAGAAAATGTTAAAGAAAACAATAAAAAAGCTTTTTTTAAAATAATCTTTTTAGTGTAGTATCTTAGGACGAATTATAAACAGCATTGTTTTTAAACGATTAATCCTATTTAATCCTTAATTATGTAAAATCATATCAGCGGAAAAATGTACCGATATGCTTCTGGATGGATGAATTTCATTGGAATTTATCTTTGATGACCAACTTTATGAGTCTAACTCTTCAGCTGTGGCTTTGGACTCACAAAACTTCACATGTAATTCAATTCTAAAGGATATTTTGCATTTTATTGGGATTAAGTCACTTCTAGATGTAGCATGTTATCTTGTATCTGATAGAATATTGTGCTGGTTATCCAAAGAAGTGGATTTGAATTTAAATTTGGCCATTTGTCAATTGTCTAATTGACCCTGGACAATTAACCATCCATGGCCTTTCTTTTGTTTTTCCCAACTCAGAAACTTAAGCAAACTAGAGCTCTAACAAGTCTTTTGGTTTTAAAATTCTGAATTCTTATATACTGTTATTAAAAGTTAAAAGCCCCTAAAATATTAGGGATATACACGTAATATGAAATTAAATTCATTTTTATCTATTATTCATTTAGCAAATGAATACAATCAAGAAGGGAAAAAAGTTGCCAGTTAGTACCTGCTATTCCACTTTAACTGAATGAATAGCTAATGACAGTGCAAAAGAGAAAACAAGCCATATTGCTAAGAATATATTAAGCTGCTTATAAAGCACTCGTATGTGTTGGAAATACTCTTCTAGAGATTTTACCTTGCTTATTTTTCTGGCTTTTCCTAATTGGATGGAAGTGGTTAGTTTATTCAGAGTTTATTGCCTTTTGGTGCCTCCGCAAACTACAGTTCTGTTGGACTTTCCTGTATTGAAAGGATAGTGTAGCCAGGACATCAATATTTTACAAATGTCTGCATAAATCTGAAAGTGGTTTATAGTCAATGTCAGTTTTTAAGTAGTGTCTCGTCCTTATTTATTTAGTATTACTATGAAGACTGAAATCCAAAAGCCAGGTTCCCAAAAAAGTATTTTTTTAATAATTCTAGGTGGCCAAAGCTAAATAGAGAAGGTCAATATAAAAATATGTTCAAGAACTCCATTTTAAATTTAAAGTAGAAAAAAAAGTGTTCAACAGAACTAAAGTCAGCTTTAAATGTGGCAAATGTTAATTTAGAGTTTTAGAGGCATATCTAGAAACAAAAGTCAAAACACTTGAAAGTAAAGGCAAACTTGGAGTAGAAGAATCTTCAAAAGGATATTAGGTAAGAAAACATGTGAATGAAAGCAATGAATTTCTCCTCCTCCCCCCATTTAAGGCACTTAAAAGTACTAGAAATTATAGTCTTTTACTATGGAACTAGATGGCCTATATTTTTAATGTGGCCAAAAGACTGAAGACTGATTAGGTTTTTAGGATTTGGAACTGTAGTCACATAGAGGCATCTTTTGCATTTTTAACCCAGTAATCTATATTTTCTCCTGGAAATGGAGAAGTAATAAAATGTGCTGTGCATAGCTTTTGGAATAAAAAACAAAGTTTTAAAAGAATGGAAATGTTTTCTTGCACAACTTGTAAAATTTTAATTAAAAAATTACCTCATTTTTCAATCCATAAGGTGCTTTGCTCAAGTTGTGGGATGGTACACCATCCCATAAATACCCCCTTCACCCAAACTGTATTTGATATGCAAAATTCATAGCTAAGAGATAGCATTCCTTGGAGATTTTGTTTTATTTTATTCTTGTTTACCACCAGCAGGGCTAACATGCTATATAGATCAGATTCAATATGGTTTTCATTAAACCACATGGGCAAGTGCTCAGTCAATATTTAGTTAGTTTAATTAAATAAGGAAAAGGAAAAATCCTTAAATTTGATTGATTCTATTATACTGTGAATATATTTCCATCAGTGTTGGTAAGATATCAAATGACTATCAGTTGATCTCTGCTATATATGATTTATATGCATGTTTTAGCCCTATTCATAAGAGACTATAATCATTTTCATCTTCTTACATTTTCCCTCAGGAAATTCGGGGACTCTGAAGCCCCTATTTTATTCTCTTGGAGTAAACTGTTCAGTGCAGTTATAAAAACTTTTATTTTTGATTTAAAAAAAAAGTTTAGCTGCTATTTCATTGAAAGTGTGAAATAAAATGATGGTCATGATTTCTTTTTCAGTTATGGAATAGTTATAAATTATACCCTGGTTCATCTATTCCACAGAGCATAGTTTTAAAAAAAGCAAAAGCAAAAGAAACAACAAAAACTAAAATCATTTACAGCCTTGCTCTTGCATTTATTCTAATCAGAGTGTAATGATTATAATCACACATTGCTATCTAAACATAAATCGGTGCTTTAGAGCATTAAAGAGGAAGCAACAGGCCCTGTATACAGTATATTTCTTGCCTCAGAATGTAAAGCTACTTTAAAGTGTCTGTATTCATATTTGTGTGCATTTCTTAAGATTTAAATGCAAACTGTTGTTATCCCTTAAGCTTCAGGCTTTCTGCAAAAGCTCTAGATATCTTAGTTAATCAGCCTGGTTGAATAGAAGATGGTATTAATAAGGTCAAAATTATGAATTGGATCTCTCTGTGGGTCCTCTGGTATTGTGCTGAGGGGAAAAAAATGTTTTTCACACCACAGATTGTGCTTCTGAACCCTAACCAAGCACCTGAAATGCTATTGGTCCAATATAAGTATTAACCAAAAAAATTAAAAGCAAACTAATGCATTCACATCATTATTTTTTGAAAATGGTTCAAAGCATGTTTTTCTAATGGTGGGGTTGCTTAAAAGACATGTTTTAAAAATTTTAATACTTTATTACCGTTATGAAATGCTTTTATATGTTAAGTTTAGGTTGCTGGTACTCATGATTTTTTATTTCTGCGATTATGTTATAATGAGTTGCTTGCATGCCTACTTACCCAAGTAAAAGGATGCTGTTTGCTCTGGAATGTTCATCCTTTAGACAGGTTTTAGCTCATTTGCAATCACGGTGCAATATAGTGTAACATTCATTTGTTTCCAGTCAACAGTTTTATTTTTGTCATAATAAATAATTACTTTTCCAATATGAAGTGAACCCAGTGTTTTCTTTTAAAGATAAAATCTGCTTTAACAATCTTTTGGTTGCATGTGATAGAAACCCACCTATGCCAACAAAGAGGGGATTTTATTATAAGGATAAGGTGGTGGGAGCTCCTAGAACCAAAGGTCAGTAATACAACTGGATTTCTAGAACAAACTGGGACCAGAGACTGAAACACTGAGGAGAAACCAGGAAGTTACCTTCCTCCTACTCACCTCTTTCTCAATCTTTCACTGGACAGGATTTCTCTGCTTCCTGATCCACATGGCAGATAATGTCCAGGTCTGGTAGCTCTATGTTATCTTCGTACAAGGGAGAAATCAGATTATTGTTAGATTCTTCCATATTCCCCAGGGAAATTGTTTATGAGCCTGCATTGGGTTATTTACTCTCTCTGATCCAAACAGCTGTCCAGGTGGAAGGTGCATTTACCAGAGAAGGAGAATCTCTCGAGTGGGAAGGTAGTCCAAATTGGTGTGTGCTCCATTGTGGGATATAACTGGGATCATGTACATACTGTGTCTACTTGTGTTCTTATAAAAAAGTTGAGATGTTATTTAATGAGTAGGATAAGAAATTTTCATTTATGTTCCTTATTTAAATTCCTCTAAAGTTGTGGGTTTTGACTTCACCTTTTTTTCACAGACCTCTTTGAGGATGTGATGAAAGATGTCTACATAGAAAAATTACACAAATGTGCGGTTACAAATGTTGTATAAAGGTTAGGAATTTCAAGTACTTTTAGAGTTCTGCTACACTACAGAACATTGAGCTTTGTTCTGAGAGAAATCAGAAATCAATAAGGTTTCATCCTGCTTATTTTTTTTAATCAGCTGAATTTAAGAGTCATGCCTATTTTTTTAAACAGCTTTATGTAGTTATAATTAATACATATCAAACTGTAGATGTTTAAAGTGTACAAGCTTTGACAAGTATGCACCCATGAAAACATCACCGCACGCTATTCCATAGTATAGAAGTATCACAGTTTATTTATCCACTCACCTTTTGGTGGACATTTCTCACTATTAGCTTGCTGGTCAGTAAAATGGCCTGCTGAGTCCAGAAATGAGGTTCTAAACTACCTGGCTGAGTTGCCAGGGTAGTCATATCCCCTCGACCCCAGGGGAGAGCAAGACAGGATAGGCCCTTGGTGCTTGGTAGTCCAGGTACCTGGGGTAGGTGGGAGGAGGGGGTTCATCCTTATCTGCTCTAGTTTAATGTCCTCTTCTCCCTCCACTCCCAAGTCACCTAGAAAACAGACTAAAAACAAGAACTAAATACTGATATTTTATTTGGGAGGTACAAGCCCAAGGCATTGGGAGTGAGAAAATGGAAGCAGGCAGGAGAGAAAAGGAGGTAATGCAAGGTGATGTATTAGTAAGCTGGGTACTGCTTCATGACAAGCCTTA